TTGTAGCCACTTTCTTCACGTTTTGAGCCACATTGGTCAGTCTTCGATAGACATTTATTCAATTTATTCTAAAATACAATAATTAGGCCCCCCCCATGGGTTGATTTTTGTGATGCCTTATCAAGAGGTCAGCTGTATCACGTTGCACGTTTTTCAAGATGGCGGACACTTACAGTGTTAATCAAGTGAAATGGAAAGAACCTCTGATATTATCATTGGACTTTGACAAATAAAGTTTTGATAACAAGCAATGTGCGAATTTTTAATCTTTAACACCCCAAAAAGGTACGAAAAGCAGAAAAATTTTGGCAACTTTTCGGCAACTTGTTGAAAAAAATAGCAACTTTTTGGCAACTTTTAGACACTTTTATCGGCAACTTTTTTGGGATTCATCGGCAACTTGCGGCTAGGCCTAATCTTTACAGCGCATTCATACGAATATGTTCCTATGTAATTTAGCGCACTTTTTTCCTTCACCGCGAAAAATGGTGTTATGTCATGATGATCTCAACGAATTCGAAGCTTTGTCGCCTAGCCTCCCTACTAGTGTTCTATGAGGAGGGGCACACACTCGACTAGTCTCCAGTGCTCCTACGTGCGCGTTGCTTAGGCTGCCCAAATTTTTACAGCATTCCCAGAGCCCTCGGTCCCTTTACCAGCGGCTGGAAAGCTCTCGTTCACTGGATAAGAGTTACAAAAACTCATTTGCCTCGAGAGTCGCTCCTAAATGTGAGAGAAAGGAGTGGCTCTAAAGATAAGTATACCTTTACTCTTATTAAATAAAAAGTTAAAATGGGTGAATGAAGTAAATCGAATGTGTTTGGAGAGCAGCCGAGAAACATACATAAAAGAAACACAAATGTGCTCAACTTACTGCGAATTATTTTCATCACTTATAGCATAGTGAGATTGATTTGATCACCATTCGAGAGGTGAAGTTAACGGTTGCAGATCAGTGAGAAAAATGATTTGATTTCCTCTTTGAGAACAGGAAATACAGGTCCCAATTTATTCCAACGCCATCAGCAAGATCAATAAGTTCAAGAAATTTTCCTCGAGGCTTTTTTTTTTTTTCAGTTTTTTAGACTGGCAGCCGCTTTTTTCCCCAACTCTTTCATCGTTAAAATTGCTCGGGTGAATAGTGGGCAATCCCGAACGAGTTGGTTTATGCGTCACAACTTGTACGTCATAAGATTCTATTTATTGATCTCCATGGCGACAATTGGGCTCATTCTTCCTCGTCCAAACCTTCTCAGCAAACAGCCACTGTTGACAATGGCGATATGGGATCTGATTCATTCAGCGAGGAAAAGATAACTTTTGTAGACGATTGCAAGCGTTAATCTTCGATTTTCTTGTGAGTCAAAGCGGAAAATAATTCAAACCCTTGTTGCACGTTTTATAATTTTCAAGCTTTTTGTTTTGTGCCGAGAAGTTTGTATTCAGAGAGCGATCATTTGAACACACAAGTCCTATTCCTTTGTACAGATTTCTCACGATGACTCCTGTTCACGGAGCGGACGGCACGGCAACTTCGTCGAGAGCTTCGTCGACTGTTACGATGAACCAGAAGGAAAGAATAAATGGCTGGTCTTGCCCATGGCATCCTCTTCAATTTGTCGCATGGTTTTTCATTTTCTTTTTCTCCGTTTGTTATTTTGGTGTCTTCGTGTATTACCTCCCTGAAGAATGGAGGGCAGCTGGATTTATTGTATCCTTTGACGACGCCGACTTTTAGAGCTTTCCTGCAATTTTAATTCGTAAAATCAGTAAAGTTTTGTCTTTTTTACTTACATAAGTCTTTGTGTGCACAATTCTCAAAGTGAGATCTGTAACTTACGCGGCCCACGCGCGATAATTTATAAAGAGTCAATCGTGTAATTTTTTGCTTATTATGTCTGGTAACTATATGTTAACGACTTGGGTTTCACAGCTAAAGGTGATTACAGTTCGTGTACACGTTTAGCTTTGTCTTCTTTCCTTGAACCGATGGAACCTTAAATTATAAATGATAATCGGTCCAATATCAAACCTACAGAACAGACATTGTTACCGCGGGGAGGAAATTGATTTCTAAACTTATGATTTTATGGGTAGTCACAATTCTTAACTTTTGTCTGCTGATCTTTAATTTCATCTACAATGATAACTCCTTTAGTAAGTGTTAGACCATATTGGTAAAATTTGTTTTGTAGTTTACAGTTTTCTCGCGGTTAACGCAAAAGGAAACAAACTTACAGTTTACAGTTTGGACAAATTCGATGTTATATTTTACGACTTTATTAACTTATAATTGTGAAATGACATTTTTCTTTTACACCACTACGAATTTTAAGGTGGATATTACTTGGGTATTTTCTCTAACTGACAGTCTTTAAATTTCTGATAATGTCAAAGAAATACAACTGCTGTAGGATTTAGGAAATGTTCTTCATCATTACAATGACTTAGCAAGCATGAACAATCTTTAATCTTTAATCGAGATACTCCTAAAACAGTATATAATAACTATACTTGTAGGACAATATATATAAAGTATATAATAATATATAACATATATATATAAAGTAAAGTTTACAATATATAACAATATATATAAAGTATATAATAATATATAACATATATATAAAGTAAAGTTTACAATATATAACAATATATATAAATTAAGTGTCATAATGACATAATTATTCTTTGGCTTCCGTTATGATAACAATTTCCTTCTGTAGATAACTTAGAAGTTAAGCTTAAGGAAGTATTTTTTTTTTAATAGGTTGTCATGGAAGTTACTTTTATCAAGAATCAGACTTCTGTCTTACTTGTTTTAGAAGTTTTAAGAGAGTTTTGATCATTTCATTTCCTGCAGTTACGTAAGAGAAATTTCTCTATAAAATAATGATACATTTTCAAGTAGAGGGGTGATGAGAAACAGGAAAACATCATATGGAGGATAATTGTTGATTTGACACAAAGGTTTTACAACTGAAATTATCAAAAATGTATGGCAGGAGTGCAGAGAAATATTAAGATTTTAGTTGTGAAAGTTTCAAAACAGAGTTAAGTGGATTAATCCCCTTTTATTATCCAACTACACTCCATTACAAGAGTACAAATAACACCATAGATGAGTACAAATATCATGCAGTATTTGTTCTCCAGAGAACTGGCTACACAGGTTTTCTGGCATCACGCAAGCGAAGAATTGGATTGAAGTTATGAAAGAAAAATGGCAGACAATTTGAATTATATTTCTGATGACAAAGAGTCAGAATGACTGGCAAATGTAGATACAAGTTTATTCGATGAATCAGACGAAGAAAAACAGCTAGATGACCTGGAAATCTCTTCATTTATTGAAGAAAATAGAAACAGCAACATGACAATGTGCCAATTCGGTTCCTCTTCGTATACATTTGTCACACACTCCCCGTAAATCTGTATCCGTAAAATTTACCCACACTGAAGGAACAATTTGGCGTGTTGGATAATAAATAACTCTTAAAAATACTCAGCAATACACCAAATCGAAATATGGCGTCCAATTTGAATTGCCATTGTTCTGGACTAACTAGCCTCTCACACATGTGATAATCCTTTTGTGTTTCCACGTGAAGACGAGGCTAGTGAGTCCAGAACAATAGTAATTCAAATTGGATGCCATATTTCGATTAGGTCTATACTACACAAGAAAACATCTAATAAGATATATATATTTTATGTTGTACTGCTAGAAACTTACAAAATCAAAAAAACTTTTTCTCTTAGAAAGCATTTACTATTGTTGGTTTGGTTAAGAAATGGTGATAATGGTAGATGTGTTTACAAGTACTTGTGTGCTTGTCTGGCAATGCAGTGGCATATGATACGGACTGTGATGTTTGGCCTACATTTTGATATACTCCTTCTGTAGGCAGTGAAGTCAACTAATCATACTTGTCACCATACAAAGGGTGATGCTCCACTATGAGTGGTCAGCTCTATCATTAAGGCACTTTCCTTAACCAATTTGTTCAGATTCCAGGTGGTTTTTGTGTTGTACATATCATTTATCATTTGATGGCACTGACATTAGACCCGGCTGATCCTAACATCAGAGGTGATACACAGAAAAGCAAAGCAATATTTGATAGGAGCCAGCATCAACATGTCATTGAGAATTGCCACTGTTACATCTGCCAAGCTGATGTGTAAGCTTTTCCATTGGAATTATCTGTATCAACTACTGTATATAGCCATTGAATTTTTGTAGACATTTGACATCTGTAGATGTATTTGTTAGGGAAATTCTTTGACTTTGCTGGGAGTTTGCTAACTTTTAGAGGGATTGGTAGAAAACTAAGAGACAATTCTTCTGAATGGTGGAAAGGGTCAAGTTTGTGCCCTCAACTGTTAATCATTAAAGCTTTAGAATCACACATTTAATGCCTGATTGCGAAGAGGCTAGTGGTGGATACAGCAAAGTGAAAATCCATGGCTAGCAATTGACAGAATCGTACTTTTAGAATATACTAAAACAGTGAGGTAAAATAGGACAAAAAGATGATTTTAACTCCTTAATTTTTGCAACAATTCAGCATTTTGGGTGCAAATTCCACGCAAATTGCTCACAGGATATTCAGAGTTTTGTAGCCAATAAGAGTGCACCTTCAACACTATCCACTGTTTCTGTAAAGACACTGTACTAAAAACCTATATATATATATATATTTTAAAGTTTTTGACAAAGGTCTATACAGTTATCTAAATGTGTCTTTTGCTGAGCTAAATATTGTCTTTTTTAATGTGTAAGAAAATTGGGAGAATGATTAATGATTGTAAGAATTGCTGGTATGTGAAAAGGGGTTTGGCCAGCACTTAATACTATTGGACAAGGGGATTTTGAGGTTGGAAATTTTGTGAAAAAAAAATATCCAATTGCAACCAGTACTCAAGAAGATTTGTCCAAAATGATAGAGTTTGTCATATAAATTGTGACAAATAACTTAAGTAATTATAGTGAAATTTTTTTATGATTTCAACAGTGGACCCAAAAGCAAACATTGCTCTGTATGCAACAAATGTGTATCAGATTTTGACCATCATTGCAAATGGCTGAATAACTGTGTAGGAGGACAGAACTATAGGTATGCAAAATCAACTCTTTATAAATGCACATGTACGTTCATTCAACACACTGACCTTTCCTCCAGAAGAATAATCCTTATGTTTATTGTTACGTGCACGAATGACCAACAAATGTCCGCTAACAAAGCATATATATGAAAATAGACTCCCGAGTACGATATATGGCACGCAACAAAAATGTAACAACAAGCAGTTACCCATTTTAACTATTATTTAATTAGTTTTACATTGTCTAATTGACTTAGGTTAAAGATTAAGTTAAGCAGTTCATAAAGCAGGCTTACAATCCTTCATGCCGTGTAAGTGTTCGTCGTCTTGATCAACTTCCAATTCCAACATCCGCCGACTGAAGACCACAGCGCTTGGCTTTCTTGATTTATCGCATTCTTTCCTTGTACACAAACTCTTCCGGAGGACTCCATAGTAAACTCTGTATTCTCTATCTTCTTCCTCTCTCGACTATCGTCTTTTTCATCTCTTTCTTCTCTCCGGATATCGCAAGGTCAAAAGGTCATAGCCTCGTCATATCATAGCTTCCAAAAGTTCAGTCAGCAAGCCACGAGGGTAAGCCCTCGGGCAAATCTCTTTTGTACTTCTCACAAGCCAGCTTTTATACATTTACTTTAGTTATCTAGAATGTTCTATTACCATTTATAGCATATTGCAAGTTGTACTATTTTTGGAAACTGCTGAGTCACATGAAAGAAGTTTCTGGAATATTACAGATCATCGATAATTCTAGAAAAGTCTGGGATTGCGTGACAGATTCAGTGAAAATAATTCGATCCTCGTAACATTATACAAACTTAGTTTTTAGTGGTATTTAATATGTGAAACTGTTCTTTAATCCACAGATTGTTCATTGGCTGTGTTTCCAGTGCTTTTGTATTGGCAATAACAGTTTTCACAACTACATTTTATGTCTTTGTAATGTACTTTGTAGACAAAGAGGGTATAAAGTCCTTAACAGGTACAGTGTAGTTGTCTCTGATTAATGCTTATCACAGTAACTATAGTGTTGTGTAGAAGAAAATAGTAAGTAAATTCCCCTACCAAAACTATTGAGGGCTATGAAAGAATTTCATGTTCACCCCATAGTAATCCCACAATTAGCTTTGTCACTAGGGGGGTTATATCTTGTAATAAAGGTACGCTATGACAATCTAAACTTAAGTGTACGGTATTCCTGGTTAAGTGTAGTGGTGACTGATGTTTTGACCACCTTTGCAAAAGTCAAGTGAATAGTTGCTGTCAGTGAATGTACATGTACTACTGGTAAGTCCAATTTCTGTGAAATGATTGGTCAGTGTAGCCATGATGATATTAGCTGTAAGACTCAAGTGTTGAAAGTTTGTTGTAATTGGTCTGTTGCAAAATATCAGTCATCACTACTGTTCAACAGTCCTTCTCAGGGCTACACTCAATGTGATGATCAGACTACACTTTCACATGTTACACTTGAGTTCAAACTATCTACTGTTAACACTAAGGTACCAAACCTTTAGTTTTATCCAGGAGGTGGCGTGGCCTAGTGCTTAGGATGCTGGACTTGTAATCCAGTGTCCCAGGTTCAAGTCATCTAACCCTAACTCACTGGATTTGTACTCGGTTGCCCAGAGTTCAAGTCTTCAAATTAAGCCAACTGGTCTGCCTCCTGCCAGTAGGGATTTTTAACCACTTTGTGTATATTTAAAATTTGTTTCTCTTTTACACATTGTTAACTTAGAGGCTTGCAACAAGTGCTATATAAAAATTATAATTATTATTATAATTATTATTATTATTATTGATATTATAATTATTATCCACCCCCCTTCCTTGTCTTAGAGTAAGTGTCTCAGAGTATTGATCAGTGATACTGCCCTCTGGTCAACAACAGGTTGTTCTTGTCTTAATTTGAAATTATTATGATCTGCAACACGTCATTTATCTGATGTAATTATATATTGTCTTAGTTTGTGGTTTGTCTACCTGGCTTTATTGATTCAAATATAGCTTGAAATATTTGCCAAAACTGTCCAAACGTCGCTGAACTGTCGTGGCTTGATCATCTTAGTGTATCAGAAAGTGCGTATCTTGTTTTGCGGACTTTTCCCCAAATGTGCCCATGAAAGGGCTGTATAAGTAAATTAAAGCAACCATTGTGTTTATTTTTTTTTCAGGAGGACAATTCAAAATATTTGTTGAAGTCTCCTCTGATGAAGCCTTTGTCACATTCCTTGGTGTTATATTGAGTCTGCTGTTGCTTACCATAGCTCTTCTTGGACACCTGCTAGGATTTCATATTTATTTAAGTAAGTATGCAATTAGTAACTGATACAATTAGTTGACCTGTGATGCAACTGTACCAGCATCCCAATGGAGAGAAAAAGCAATGTTGCAAGGATATGTAAGGTTATTCCACTAAGGGGACATGCATCCCATCAAGCTCTCATATTGGTCGGGCATTAATTTATCTAATGGGACAAATGCAGAAAATTAAGATGTGAGCCAGGAAAACAGAATAGTCTGAGTAGGACAATTGAAGGCTTACTGTAAATTTCACATTTAGAATGGAAGAACTGACTTAACTCTTAAACTCCCAGAAGTGATTAACATGTAACTTCTCCGTATAATATCCATACATTATCCAGCAAACAGGTCATGAGAACATTCTCAGTCTTGGGAAGTTATTTAATTACTCAATTGACCCAGACTTTGTCATTATGTCTGGACAGATGGCATTCATTAGCAACATACAATCAGTATTTGAGCATACAGTACTTACCAACAAGCAAGAAAGATAAGAATCTTTTTTTTTTTTGGATATCCTATCTAATGACGTTGTGTTGAAACTCTTGCTAATAACATCCATGCATGATTGAACTGTTTATGGTCAACTTAAAATTGACATGTGATGTAAGGAATGTTTACAGTGTGTTCATCAAAAAATGTAAAAGCAGGAGTAAAGTGTAAAATGGTTGGAGAATGTCCCCCACACTTGAGTAAAACTAGCAGAGCTATTGAATTTTCTTTGAAGAATTCTCCTATATCCGGTGATATATGATAACGTCGAGGTTATTCGTTATAGTTTAGGGGGTTCATTTACTGACTTCATCAAAGTGATGCAGTGAGTTGGTTTTATACTCATTTTTCTCTTCAACAGTGTATCATAAAATATCCACATACGAGTTTATAGTTAATTCAAGAGATAGCCAAGCTGATGTCACTGATGTTGAAGCAGGGGGGAAGTCTCCATCAAGAAGAAAATTATTTAAGGTATTTTAATGCTGCCCTTTCTCATGTGTGTGACCGTATATCTGGCAGGCCCCAATGAGTCTTGGTAATTAAGAGCTGAGAATTTACTTGTACATGTAGCATTATTCTGTTCGATTCAACTCGAATAATCTTCTTGTCCTAGTCAGTTCCGAGCTACATATTATGTTTTGAAGTAGGAGCTTGTTGGCAATATCAAAAATACTTTGATCATTTGAAAAAGAAACAAAACATGGCAGCGTAGTGAGGGAAGAACTACTCCTAGACTTGAATTAACGTACTTTATCAACCTATTCCCTCTTTTCCCATCTTTTTTGTGGAGTTCTAATCTTTTAGTGTTTGTTCTTTCTTTTGTTGTTGTTGTTGTTTTTTTTCTACTCTCTAACTTAAAACATTCACCAAGTAGCAGTAAACAAAGTGTCCAGCCTTCCCAGGTGTCTTTGTTGTCGAGGTGAATTTATCGGTTATTCTTCTTTCCTATCCGATTGTGAGATTGTCTGGTTGATTTCCATGCATTTTTAATTCACAGAATAAAGTGAAACCAGAAGAAGACAGGAGAGAGAATGCAGAACCTGCAAGGTGAGTTTCGTTAAGATATCATGCAAAAAACAAATAAATAAATAATAAATAACAAATAATAAAGTAAAACCAGAAGAAGACAGGAGAGAGAATGCAGAACCTGCAAGGTGAGTTTCGTTAAGATATCATGCAAAAAACAAATAAATAAATAATAAATAATAAATAATAAAGTAAAACCAGAAGAAGACAGGAGAGAGAATGCAGAACCTGCAAGGTGAGTTTCGTTAAGATATCATGCAAAAAACAAATAAATAAATAATAAATAACAAATAATAAAGTAAAACCAGAAGAAGACAGGAGAGAGAATGCAGAACCTGCAAGGTGAGTTTCGTTAAGATATCATGCAAAAAACAAATTTTACCATTTTCCGTAAGAATGCTCTCAGGGACCTTTGACGGTCGAGATTCTAAAGGGAGGTGAACTGAAAGTATCGCAGTAAAGATGGCTGTATATCAAAGGCCTTCAGTTGATCTTTTTTTGTCAAATAACTGTCTACTGGAATTCCTCTACAGCGCAATGGTTTTTTATTGTTTTGTTTAATTTTTAAGGATTGAAATAAGTGATCATGGTAGGTCTGAAGGATCAGACGATTCGCTTCGCGTTGAGACAACCGTCAAGTTCATAAGTGAAGTTAGTTCTAAGGTGTGTATCTGGTTTGTTTTTCACAAAGTAAGTTGAGGTGTTTGATGTGCCTAACAAACCCTTTCCCAACCTTTAGAATTAAGTCAAAGATTTCTGTTTTAGGGAGAATTTGTCTCACTGAGTATAGCACAAAATTATTTAGTCCAAGTACAGAAGAACACCGATTTCTCGATTTGTTATGGCGGTTTTCTGGGTTCCAAGAGAGATAAAACAAAACAACTTTTTATATTATCCCGTTGATCGCTCCGCTTGTTGAAAGTCTGTCTCTGGCACTGAAATTAAAACTACCCTCTTTGACTGACTCCCTTTTTCCTCGTGCCCCTATTGTTATCGGTTTTAGTCTTATTTTTACTCTTTTTACCACCTTAGGCCGCTGCTAAAAATCACAGATCCAGTATTGAGCATAAAGAATCACAAGGCCAGGAATTAGTGTCTAAACAACCTTCAGTAATTAAAGATTATTCACCATTGGGCATGATGGAACCCTCAGGTTCGGAGGAATCCGTAAAGGAAATCACACCCACCCCCCCACGGGTTGCAATTCATCAACCGGCTGTCGGAAACAAAGCCTCAAAACTACAGCGACCTGCAGAAATTGTTCTCGACCAATACGGTGCTGACACAGCATCAGCCCTACCGGGGCCCAGTAGGGTTACTTTTGCCGATGATGAGGAAGGAGAGGAACTGGTGCCTAGTCCCAGGAAGAAGAAAAAACGGAAAGTTCGTGAAGGAATTAATTCACAGACAGGAAATAACGAGGAATGCGAACTTGTTGAAATTGTTACGAAAGAAATAAAACCGGGAAATGTATCGAATGGACAAGATACTGTAGATGCTCCAATTCTGAAGAAGAAGAAAAAGAAAAAGACAAAAAACGCCTCACCAGAAAGCTTACCGCCTGTTGTAACCCGCCGACCACTTCCGCAGTTACAATTGGAAGGTTAACCCTCTTAGGAAAATTTTAAACTAAGCTCTCTAGTCACACGAATATTTTAAAATCGATTGTGATCGTTGATTGTAAATAGCCAAAAAGCGAAATTTTACAAATGAAATGATATTTCATTCGAAATTTTCACTTTGCAACCCAGAAGTATTTATTATGTAAATTATTTGTCTGTCTGTATATTAATTTCGTAAATTGAAAGAATTTTTCTCGGAGAGACCAGAGAACTCTTATATTTTTAGCCAAGCTTCACTCAAATTCCTAAACGTAAAGCTAGAAGGTGGAAGTAAGAGTTCCTTTTAAATTCGACTCCAGTTTTAGAAAGCAATGGTTAATTTTGCTTTGAAATTCATCCGAGCCAAAAATAATCTTGATACAAACAAAATTGTCAACAATATCATTGCCCTTTAGTAACTCACTAGAATTGCTTTTTTTTTTCTTTTCCCCTTTTAAGATATCGAAATGGTATTTACTCTGTAAGACGTTACTATTGTGTTTCTACAAAAAATGGCGTGTTATTTATTAGTGACGTTTTCTACTGAACTTTCTCGATAAGCTTTCTGCACACACTCTTAGTTCATTTCCGAAACACAAAATATTATTTATTGCCTTAACATCACAACCACTATTTAACTAAATGAGCCCAGCTTCTCTGTTTTGAAAAATGGTTCTAGAAACTCAATTTTATTTTAAAAATTAAAGTATCGATTAAACAAAAATAAAGTTTTTCACAAAGAATTTTAAAGTTCGTATTTTTACCCTCCTTATCAAAGCCATATGGTTTGATTACTAGCGCCCACATGTCGTGTGGGGAGACTCAAAAGAGCACTCTTAAGTGACATTGAGTATTACTTTTATAGTTTTTTCTCGTTGAAAGCCAAAGAATATCGATGTCTCAGGCACTTGTCGTCTGCCAGGGTCACTGCTAAACAAAGGGTAGCCTTAATTACAAATTCGTCACGAATGTCGGAGAAAGTTCTCCCACTAGGCTCGAGTCCTGTCCGGCTTTGTACCTTTGACGGGAAGGAATTCGCTTGAGAGCCAGAACTTAGATGATGACAGAATCTTTTTGATACGGCTCGTATCTTAAACTCGTGATTTTCCAATTTTCCGATGTTCCACCAATATTGATGGAATTGCAATAAAACACGGAAATAAATTTATCGAAAAGTGAACCGATCATGGATTAGATCTAATATTTAGAGACAACTGGTGTTTGTCTCATGTTGCCACAGGGAGTATGAATTAAGAACTGCTTTTATAATCAAACGGAATATCCAAAAATATTCTATAGGACCTGTAAATCAAGCATAGGGTCCTTAAATTCAAACATGGCCACAACTCCCCTCTTCCAAGTCGTCACAGTCTGTGACCGTTTTAAAGAACAAAAAAATCAAAGATTGCCAGAGAACCACAATATATTGATATCGCGGTTGTAGCCAAGGTCGTAACACAGGTCAAAATGAGTTTATATCATAAGGTTTCGACAAATCATTTATTTCACAACATCACAAATAAACAACTTCCTAAATTTCTGACCGTTCATACCATGTTCGCCAGGCCAGGCTTCTAACTGTTCTCTGGGTTAGTGTAATAGTGACAGATTTCCGGAGACAATAGCGACCGCCACGCACGGGATAAATTTGATCGTATCTGCCAAAGTGGTTTACTTACAATAAGTGGTATACTTGAAGAAATTTAACACTTTAGTAAGTTATTAATATTTCCAAGCTCATAAGGTGGTAACGCGATAAAGAATAAAAGCGAATTAAAGTCAGAAATTTAGGCTGGGCTCAAGGAACTTGAGTGAGGAATATGATTTTCAGTGCAAAAACTGGTTCCTTCCCCTATCGCTTGCGAGCAGGCCCTCATTATCAGCGCTTAGGCGGTGTGTGTTCCTTCGCAGACGGAAACTGTATGAGGCCTTATTTTAGGCAACAGTAGCCGGCATGAGGGCTTCAAGTGGTCTGGCACTGACAATAGTTAGATTTGCGAAAACGGCGAACGCTGAACATCGGCTAGCCGTTTGTCGTTTGCCGTTCCGTCCGCGAAGTTCATCTGTTTAAGTTTCCCGACGACAGGGCAGACAATGCTCTCGGGCGCCATTCACTGCGACTAAAAATAATGGATACAAAGAAGTAATGTATTATCCGCTTGAATTTGAACTCTATTAGCCTTACAAGCAGTTCATGTAGAAGTAAGATGATAACGAAGCTTAGCTATAAAAGCAAGTAATCAAAATGTAGAAATAGTCGGTAAAAATGGGCTGCAAATACTCACGTTTTCGAGTTCCCTACAAATGGGAAAAATGTGCTCCTCGAGTAGAAACGGCGGCCAGCAAACGGAAAACGCGGGAAACGGTCAGGTCACGTGACCCTCTCTGCCGTTCGCGAGAAAAAAATACGTGGTGCTTAACCTCTCTTAGTGCTAAACCCACGGAAAACCTCTCCCGTCTCGTCTCAAATCTTCCCGCGGTCGGAGAAAAGTGCGTCGTGTAGCGCTAATAAAGGCTTGGCCTGCGCATACTCGCAGGCAACTTCCAAAAGGACTCAAGAAAACGATGGAAGACCAAAGATTACGAAAAGAACGACACAAGACCACATGATCTTGTCGAGCAGTTGTTTTACTAAACAAGCTGTTGTTTGCTTTGTTTTCCCTTTTTTTGCGCGTGAAATTGGCGCGCGGGCGGTCCAAATTGATCCTCTCGCGCTTTCCCTACGTTTGAGCTCTGTCAAAACAACATCTGTCAAAATTGTGGGCTCAGTCATGTTTTGAATCCACAGATGGAAGGATCAAGTCAGGATGTGAAAACGTGTGTGCAAACGTTTTTTCATGTTTTCCCTTGAAAGTTTGCTCGTTGATCCCCTTGCGTACTCCGACGTTTGACTGAAGATAGTCTCTGTAGGATTCCACGTGCAAATTTTTTTTATTAGCTTATCAATTATGCATGCCCTTTTTGGAACTATTTAAACGCTACGGCCTGTTAGCGCGCGAATATTTTCCAACGTATTCTCTAGCCCGAAGTTTTCGTTGCCGATCTCAGACTCTTATTAACTTCAGCTTCGGCGCCACCGCTACAGTCCGGAAAACATTAGTAAGTCTTCAATTTCTGTCTTGTATGTTTATCATCGCTCTGCCCTTCTTCTCATGTGTTTTTATTTGTTTTCCTAGTCGAACCTCGCTCGTTCACTCGCTCAATCACAAACCTCAATCGGCGCCTCGAGTCTCTTCAACCGCGCGCGAGTTCGAAATTATTTCTAGACGTAGCATCGACAAGAACTGTTAGCTACATTGTTCGAAAATGTTTGCAGAGTTTGATTGCCTTGCCTGAACGTCGATCGCCGTTCAACTCGACAATGGAGGAAGAAACCGATGGCCAAGCTACCCGTCGCCAAGTTCTACCGGATGTTACGTTTGATCAACAGGGTGTTAGGAATGAAAATCTAGTACGTCTTCGCAGAAGCAGGTGAGCAGCAAAGGGCAACGTTACGAAGAAAATTACTGAAATCGCCCTGTGTATGTCGCAATCGCCTTCAGCGGAAGAATTTTTATCCAAGACACAAGAGTTTAACAAGACAATAAAGGCTTTCGAAGCTGCTCATGCAAATTATCACTCAATGTTAAGTGGCGTAGAAGAGATTCAAGACATTTAAGATTATTACGAATCCGAATGTGCAAGGATTGCTAATTTTCAAGAGACATTACACCAGTTTACCGCAACGGCCAGTGCAGAGAGAATCACGAGAGCGAGGTTCGATCGGAAGATTCAATAGCCCATTTCCGAACTGCCGTTAGCCTCTTTTTCAAAGCGAGTCCTGGTGCTCATCCTTTCGTATTGTAATAAGTTTTCACTCAGATGCAAATTAAACTCACTTTCATATGTATGGTTGAGCACCAGGCCTCGTTTTGAAAAAGAGGCCAAACGTAATTCGGAAATGGCCTATTAGCAACGTCGGTTCGAGAACATACACGCGATCGCACGCGTCATCTCGAAAGTCGGGTGGTGGCTCTTTGGCCCATGTGCATAGCCCAAGATTGGCCGCTGCTGCATAAAGGGCAGCTCTACAAGCAGATGAATAAACAGCAAGCTATACAGCGAGAAGAGTTACGCCTTCAACAGGAAATTATTTATTAAGCACCAACAACTTCAAGAAGAAGCCAAGTTGCACCTCGATCAAAGAAAGCGTGAGCCGGATCTGGAAAGAAAAATTGCTAGTGCTGGCTAAGTCCCTCGTCAGCCCTTACAAAGTTGCACACTGGCTGTGGCTGACCCATTCTCACCAAGGGTCCATTCACCGTCCATCCAAACATAGTTCGAGTCGCGTATGGGCCTTCGCCTTGACTAACACGAGTTTCATGAGGTTCCAGGGCCTTTGGAATGTCGCATCCTATAAGCAAGCCAATATCCGCATCGATCTTTTGGATTTGAAGATCTCTGAGGTAAGGGAAACTGATTACATCGTCACAGTCATTACTCACAGGTAGTTTCGGTACTGAAAACACGGACGGAAGATCCACAAAGTGATTCTCATGCAGATCAAATGCTTCTAGACTGAAGAGATTGCAGCTCATTACACAGTTTTGCTTGCCGAAGGTAGTAAGGGAAAGTCGCGTCTTGTCCCCATCGATTCCCAAAGTCTCCACGAGCTTCTTGGAACTGAATGTGGTATTGGAGCCGTTATCGAGAAAGGCGTAGGTTGCGGTTGATGTATTTGTTCCTTTAGTCTTGACTCTTACAGGAACTATCGGTAGTGCAGTAGCTGATTTGCCGGCCCCAATATAAGCACACTGACCATCGGCTCTGATAAAGTTGCTTTGGGTGTTGCTTGTTTCGCACGTTCTGCAACTGGGAATTCTCGGATTCCATATGCCGCCAGTGAACCAGCAATGTCCAAAGAGGACAAGCGTGCACTACCCATCATGAAGTAGTCGATCTACTTGAAGGAGAGTCACTAACAGATAGACTTACCCTGGAAACACGATGTGCCCCGTTTACCAAACAACCGCACGTACAATGGCAGAACACCGTCTGAGGTTACTGCGCAAAAGATTACTGAAGAATCCAGACCTGTGTTCGAAGTATTCAGCATTCATGGGCAGCCTCTTCGAGAACAGGCACGCTCAAATGGTACCCAAGACTCCATTGGAACACACCGCCGTTGTAATATGGTACTTACCTCACCACCGTGTCGTGAACCCGAACAAGCCAGACAAGGTTCGTGTGGTATTCGACTGTGCCGCGCGATACAACGGGGTGTCTCTAAACTCTCAGCTTCTGCAGGGTCCAGACCTAGCCAACAACTTGGTGGGAGTTCTGATTCGCTTTCGTGAAGAGCTCATTGCCATAATGGCTGACATCGAAGGAATGTTCCACCAGGTGCTTGTCAGCCCTAAGGATTGCGATACGCTCCGCTTCCTATGGTGGCAAGGAAACGACCTCAACAAGGACCCAGAAGATTGCCAAATGTTGGTTCATTTATTCGGCGCCACTTCATCCCCGAGTTGCGCTAATTTTGGCTTAAAGCGAACGGCAGAAGATAATCAAGAAATGTTCAGCGAAGAGGCCGTGAGGACTCTAAGGCGTAATTTCTATGTGGACGATTGTTTAAAGTCCATTAAAGGCGAAACCAAGGCAATATCATTGGTATCAGAACTTCGTGCACTGCTAGCCAAAGGGGGATTTCGGTTAACCAAATGGATATCTAACTCCAGAAAAGTCATCGAGTCTGTGCCTACATCAGAAAGACCAGTAGTAGTGGTAGCAGATTTATTTATACTCGAAATTTATGGAGCTTGTCAGGCACCTAGCTTAGATAGCTAATGAATCGAGTAGAAAATAAATGAAATATTATACTAAAAAGTTTACAATAAAAATTCAGAGATAATAAGTAAATATAAGGTTAACTAATTAATTAATTAATTAATTAATCAACCAATTAATAACATTATTAAATACACTAATATAACTATATACATGCTACTGAGAAGATAGGCTACTAAAACTACATCCAGAGTAAAAATTACATTAAGTCTAAGAGCTACAAAGGGTACAATTACATACATCAAAAGTAATTTTCCCGATGCGTGTTACAAACTCTTTTAGTGTTCGTGAAGTTCTTAAGTCATTATTTAAAGAGTTCCAGATTTTTGGACCAAAGTACCTGAAAGTATTTAGCCCATGCTTAGTAGGTTGACTCTGGGTTGTACAAGAATCAGTTCGCCACGTAGGTTGTGTGAGTTGTTTCTAAGCGTCAGCAGAGTACGAAGTGGATTTGATGTTGTCCCGTGAATAACTTTATGAATAAGAATGCACATATCCTGGACTCTTCTGTTGTGCAATGTGGGCATATTTACTGTTTCAAGTAGAGTACTATAGGTACTAGTGCTGTTGTTAAGGACTGATCTTAAAGCACGCTCGTTGAGTTTTTCAAGTTTAGCCAATGTTGTTTTTCCACAGTGCATCCACACTGCGGAACAATAGGTGAAGTAAGGAAGAATGTAAGCCTTACATAGTGTAAGCTTGGTTTGAAAGCTAAGAAATTTTCTAAACCGGCATATGATTGCAATTTGCTTGCTAATCTTCTTGCATAGTGAAGCTACGTGATTGTTGAAATTCAGCCGGTCATCTATAAGCACGCCCAAGAGTTTGCAGGTGGTAGAGGGTTGTATAGATGTTCCATCAATCATGAAGCTCATTTTGTCTTTCTTTGTTTGGTTACGTTGGAGGTTTGATTTTGTGAAGGCCAAGGATTCACATTTCTTAGCATTTAGAAGTAGGCCGTAGTCCTTGATCCAGCTTAAAGCTACAGCTAGTTCAGAATTTAGGATCCTCTGTATAATTCTCGCGTTTGCGTTACTACAGTAAAGTTGTTTTGTCGTCTCAGTGAAGGATCATCTACTCGACCAATTGCCTTTTGAACGTGCTCTGGAAACCCGATGGGATGTCGAAACGGACGCCCTTGGCTTTAAGATATCCTTGAAGAACAAGCCTTTCACCAGACGCGGAATTCTCTCCATCGTGAGTTCCATCTATGACCCTCTGGGGTTCGTTGCGCCCTTCATCCTCCCAGCAAAGCGTCTACTGCAGAACTTGTATCGAAAGGGCTTAGGTTGGGACGACATAGCTTAATTTAATTTAATTTGAATTTAATTTTAATTTATTCCATTTGCACTTGATTGATTTGCAGTGGGGAAGGACTAGAAAGGAATATACGAACTATTCGAGCTAGTCCACCTTCCCACCCATCCCACCCCAGGGGATAACATCCATCACACAGTAATCTCATGTGTTGGAAATTAACGTCTCCTACTCCAGCCCTGCAGGAGACGGGACCTCCATTTGTTCGTCCCTATCCGAGAGGACTAGAATACCTAACCATTTCTTGATGTTGTAGAAAGGTAGCAAATTCTTCTCAATTATTTTAAGTGTTGGTCCGGCCGGGGCTCGAACCCTCGACCTCCCGCACAACAGTCCAGCGCACTATCCATTGGGCTAACTGGGCGGTGGTTCAAACGAAGACATCAATGCCTGGCAGAGCTGGCTCGGAGATCTCTTTAAGCTGGAGTCACTCAAAGTTCATCGATGTTTCAAACCGCCTGACTTCGGCGAGGTCACAACTTGTCAGTTCCACCACTTTGCTGATGCCAGTCAGATTGCTTATGGCGCCGTATCCTATCTTATCTTCGCATTACCAACGCGTGAGGTCTCGTTCATTGTTCATTCGTCATGGGGAATTCGGGCGGTCTCCACTCAAGCTTCTTACTATTCCTCGATTAGAATTGAGCGCAGCTGTTGTCGCAGCCAGACTGGACAAGATCATTAGAACTGAAACCGACATACTGGTCGACGAGTCTAACCACCCTCTCCTCCTTCGGTACAGCCAATCGTTTCCTCCCGGAATCTTTGTCAAGATGGACACATACTCCAAGCGCAGATGGAGGCAGGTCCTGTACTTATCGGATGTATTTTGGCTCCGATGGGTGAAGGAATAGCTCCCAACTTTGCAAGAGAGACAAAAATGGTTCAGGCCGCGTCGAAATTTTCAAATTAGAGACATCGTACTGCTCACAGATGAGAAGTCGCCCAGAGGTTTATGGCCACTTGCACGCATAACAGGCGTTAAGACAAACCAGCGAGACCGTCTTGTGAGAAGTGTCACGCTGAAAACAAAATCAAAGACACTCGAACGTCCTATAGACAAGGTAGTCTTACTCGAAGGAGCAGCTGAAGTTTCTGTGCTATGCGTTTCGTCACCCGGTGACGCTGCACGAGGAACAATTAATGTTAACATTGCGTTGTAATCCTCTATAGGTCAAAGTAAATGCCTGTGTAGCGCATTTAGGGGCCAGGATGTAGGATTCCACGTGCGAATTTTTGTGTTAACTTATCAATTATGCATGCCCTTTTTGGAACTATTTACTACGGCTTGTTAGCGCGCGTATATTTTTCAACGTATTGTCTAGCCCAAAGTTTTCGTTGCCGATCTCAGACTCTAAACTTAAGCTTCGGCGCCACCGCTACAGTCAGGAAAACATTTGTAAGTCTTTAAATTCTGTCTTGTATGTTTATCATCACTCGGCCCTTCTTCTCATGTATTTTTATTTATTTTCCTAGTCGAACCTTGCTCGCTCAATCACAAACCTCAATCGGCTCCTCGAGTCTCTTCAACCAAGCGCGAGCTCGAAATTTTTCTAGACGTAGCATCGACAAGAACTGTAAGCTACAGTCTCCCTCAAGCGGTTTTTAGGATTCAAGGTGTCCGATCCCCGAGAATATTGCCACTTAAGGTTGCTCTTTTTAACTATAGAATTCGTCCAAAATACAGAATTCAACCAACACCCTCTTTATCCAAATTCAACTCGTCTCCTGTACTGTAGAGTTTTTGGACAATTTGTGGACAGAAAGGGCAAAGCCACGATAAAAGGAATTTTAAATCCATCTCATTCCTGTCGTGGTTTCATTACTCGTTTACAGGGCTCTGCTACTCAATTTTCTTTGTTCAGTGTCAACTGTCGAACGCTACGGTCGTAGCGCGAAATTTCTTTAGGGGCTCTCACAAGTCGAAGAATACGCTCTAAAAAATAACTAAACATTGTAAATCCGGTATCATACCTTAATTTTTTATTTTGAGAAAATAATTTCTTCATATAAATTATACTGAACAACGCTAAGTAATACAGTGCGCTCTATACACAACTGAAGGTCTCGGAAGACCCAAGAGTCGAATAAAAAAAAAAAAAAAAACAAGCGTAGTACACGACAAGCAAATTAGTGTCTCAATGTGAAAAATAATGGAGAAGTTAACAAAAATCTAGAAAGGCAATACAAGTCGAGAAAGATTAGCAAGAAGAAAGCATTGTCCACGAATTCAAAGAGCCATGGAGGTTATCAAAATCATGTAAGAATCGTCGTTGCATTCACAATGAAAGTTTCTTTTTGCTTTAGAAAATTGTCTCCCCAAGATATTAGGGTTTGCAAGTTCACTTTTGTTAGTTGAACTCCATAGCCCCAGTTCAATTGTGAGAAGCAACTTAACTCCAACTGCATATCGCATACTTTTTGAAAACACTTGTTTGTTTTCTTTTTGAGCCCAATTGTTCTTTCATTAACACAGAACTTGCACCTCAATTCTCATTTGGCGCTGGAACCTTTTGATCCCTTTGGGCTGTAGTGCTGAAGCACCATGAACCTTAAGAAAGCCATGGCGACAAATGAAATTGTTAGGAACCAGTCCGCTATTGCTTAAGTAGTGCTCCTCACTGCGAAGATCGTTCTCATATGCGAACCAGTTATTATTCAAAGCCGGGGGAAGGGGGAAGCACAGGCGTTTTCTTCTTGAGAGGCGGGGGGAGGGGGGTTTGGGTCACATGGTCTTCAGAGGGAACCGAAGGGGGATCAGTCGTCCCTAACATTGACTGCAAACGAGGGGCGATCAGAATACCACAGAGCCTAAGAGGCAAGAATGAGGTAAATTTAAGGTGACACAGCAAAAATCCTCCGACCACCACCAGGCTATAAATAATAACCAGTCCCCTTTGTCGCGTGTCCATAAAGCTTTTTGAGCTCGGAAAATGCGTTAAATATTTCGTACTGGTACATTTTGCTGTGAACTTTTGCGAAACAAAAGCCACATAAAGTGTCCAAAATCTGAGTGTTTTCTGTGAACGCAGAGAGCGCAAACAAAATTATCAAACCCATCAAAACTGTTGGTCAGTCAGAGCTGAACATGCTTTTATAGTGGAAAAACACCAAAATTAGAAGTACTGGGGAATCTTGTCACCATCGTCTCTTCAAAGGCTTAACTTCTTCAGAACCTGGGATTCTTTCGGCTTGATCTGGTAAGCCAATCTCCGTCGTAGCGTACATTTACCCAATACAAAATTGGCTGAATTGCCCCAGTGAAATAACTATCAGGAAAATGAGTTGCTAGTCAGACTATCCACAGTTTCATTTTCAGACGATCTTGTGCAGGGAACAGAGTCTATTGAAGGTCTTCTGTGTCTTTCGTGTGGAAGAGGTTGCCGCATGTTTGCAAGCTTTTGAGTTTGAAGTTTAACACAGTCCAAAATTTCTCGCCCCCGTTGGGTCAGGAATTTAAAATGTCCCTCGCCTGTCTTACATCCCCTGAAAAAAAAAAAGTCAATTTGTTGAAAAGTCAAGTTGTTGAACACGATAACTGTGAGAGCAATCAAATTGTATTTCTCTGGTAACAGGTTGAGGTATTCGGTCATTCCGAAGGCGGGCTGCCCTTTACTAGGGCTAACGCTCAGTGGTTTTTTCATGGGTTTCACTCAACACTTTATTTACACTTCAGAGTTAATTCTCTGTTCCATCATTTATGCCCTGTGATATGGATTGATTTGCTCAAAGTCATATAGTTAAGGATTTCGCACTTGGCTGCGTTACCCATTGAATGCAATCTCCAATCTCGCGCATAATGTGGGTTACAATAGCCTGTGACCAGGCTCTCATTATGAGGGCTGCAGAACGCACTTTTCCTCGCAAGATAGAGGATGGGAGACGAGTCTGGGAGAGGTTTTCAGGGGTCTACAGCCCTTGCAGGCCTCTTCAAGGCCTCGAACTTTCCCGCGGGCGTAGAAAAGCTCGTGCCCCTGCCGAAGCGCCAATAATGAGCGTTACAATCGACAAGAAACTGAACACAAATCGAATGAAGACCAAAGCAGAGCTAGATCGAGATGGCTTTAATCGCGGATTTCATCAACTGGATTCGCTCTTTGAAAAAACAACTGAGTAAATCTAACTTAATCGTATCATTTGAAAAAATAATTAACAGTCATTCATCGAAGTGAAAAGAAACATCCGCCACTTTCACCGACACTGAGGTGAACAATTGTTTTAGTATTTACCGCACACGAAACCACAGGCGTCCCAAGCTCACGTCTCGAGCAAAAGCGAAGGGTTACTTCATGACAGCGTCACGCGTTGTGTGACGCGGTGTTAAGTTACGCGAGCAACCGTTGAGAATTTGAATGCGTTATGAGGAATAGTATGCGGAACAAACTATGGTCCATTTAAAACACTAAATATTCAGAAATATGAACATTTTACAGGTTAGATTAATAAAACTTACTCGTTCCTTGTGTGTCCGTTGTGCTTTTTGGCGATTTCCGTCGTTTTGGGCTTGCTTTGCCATCACTGTTTTTCCTGTTATCAGACGAAGTCAAGGCTGCACACTATGATTTCGACCTTTGTCCACGCGGAGGCGGTTTGCGCCCAGAAAATCCATGTATTCGGCAATTTTTTTATCCACAGCTTACGGATCCGAGATCATTGCACCCTGGAAAGTGTCTCAATTCCAAAAATCTCCCCGCATTACGCTGAAAACCAGTGTTTTCTACCATCACGTCCAAGTTTCTTTCTTTCTGCCGGCGCCTTCGAAGGCGAAGAGATACAACGAAATTGACCGCGATCGATCGCTTTAATCCATTGTCCTGATCTACCAATCGTACAGCGAGGTGACACTTACACACATACACGCACACACACACACACAGTTACGTGACACTGACAACGGACTATATTTGAATATTCTGCGGGGTTTGCCGGGAGCACTTACAGTAAGTAAAATGCTATCGATCGCGGTCAATATCGCTGTATCTCTTCGCCTTCGAAGGCACCGGCAGAAAGAAAGAAACTTGGAAATGATGGTAGAAAACGCTCGTTTTCAGCGTAATGCGCGGAGATTTTTGGAATGGAGACACTTTCCAGGGTGCAATGATCTCGGATCGTAAGCTGTGGATAAAAAAATTGCCGAATACATGGATTTTCTGGGCGTAAACTGCCTCCGCGTGGACAACGGTCGAAATCGTACTGTTTGCAACCTTGACTTCGTCTGATAACAGGAAAAACAGTGATGGCAAAGCAAGCCCAAAACGACGGAAATCGCCAAAAATCACAACGAACACAGGGAATGAGTAAGTTTTTTTAATTAACGTGTAAAATGTTCATATTTCGGAATATTTAGTGTTTTAAATGGACCATATTTTGTTCCCCATACTATTCCTTACAACGCATTCAAATTCTCAACGGTTGCTCGCGTAACTTAGCACCGCGTCACACAACGCGTGACGCTTTCAAGAAATAATCCTTCGCTTTTGCTCGAAACGTGAGCCTGGGACGCCTGTGACGAAACCAAAAAATTTGTTTACTTTTGACAATATACCGATAAACGGTCGGAAATTAAAATCTTGACCCGCTGTTTTGTCTCTTCCTCTGCTTGGAGATGAATAATTCTTGCTAATCACTTCCGAATTAGCCAATCAGGTCTCGCGAAAAGCATGATTGAGAGCCCGCGAACAGGTTAATATTTTCCAGTGTGTTGTTAATTTGATATCATGTCTTTATCGATCCCTTGCTAGTGCACGTTAGACAAAAGCAGAGCTCATTCTACACCTTAAAATCAGAACACTTCAATTAATATTAACCAGAAGTTCATGAAACAAAACGGCGCCGCGAATTTTAGAAAGTTGACATATCGAGCGCGTCTTCTTTCTCGGACTGCTGCGACGGAAAGTTAGCGCTTGACTTCTAGTTTAGAACCGACAAAGCGCTAACTAAACTTGTCTGTCGACTCAGCAGGAAAGTTCCCTAGTAAACCAACAACTTTATTTTCTTACCTTCCCGCTTGAAATGTTAAAACTTTGTCTAAATCTTGAAGATGTGACAATCTTTGAAGTCGAAATCGTGGAAGATGATCTAACTCCCATTCTTGTACTCTTTCTCCTGTTTTAGCGCTATGTAGGCATAAATATTCCTTACGAACAGTCATAAGATAGTTTCCTGTAAGTTCAAGTCTATCAGAGTCCTCTGTAGGAATTACGTTTACTTCATAAAGCCCTGAGAAGAAAGGACAATTATTTCAATTAAGTTTCAATGAGTTCAAAATCTTGAAAATGTCTATACATCACATCAAGATTGTGGTCAGTCGCGTCAGTATCAGTCTCAACTAATGGTTCGTGGCTGATAAGATACCAGGAATTTCATCAGAAGCCGACAACCGGTGAAAACTCCGGCGGCTACTCTCCAAAGCGGAGCGGGGTACTTTGGTCATTCCATCTCCCGGTTTTTGCGTGTTTTTCGGAAAACATTCAATATATTCTAAAGGCAGTCAGCAGTAAAGGTTTTTTTTTGTGTTGATATTTTGTCTCCTCTTTGGTTGTTGGGTGATTTTTGCAACGGGTTCTAACAATTCAATCAACAACACGGTCGGTTCGCTGCGCGTCATGTTGAATGGAGAGAAGAGAAAGACTGGTGACGAATCTGCCTTGATTGCTGCTGAACTGTCTTCCACCTACTCATGTGCTAATATACGCCTGCTTCAGAAATTAAAGAAATCCCTGAATACCGTGTTTCCTTTACACCAAGATACTCACCAGATATGTTCAAGAATTTGCAAACAAACCCTCTGAAAATCGCAACACTTAACAGGTTTGATTACAAATTCTGGTTTGCGTATCTCTCGGTAAGGTATCTGACAAAATCTCTTGGCCGATTCGAACCAGCCACAAACTATTTCAAGTTTGCAGACTTCATCTACGGTTTCAAATAAGAAATCCCCACAAAGAATTTAGACATTAATCCAGATCCGCCCTTAAAGAAGTGTCTTGAATGTCAAAGGGTTACCGTTCCTGTACATTCCATTTTGTCTGCACTGATGTCTCAAATGCGATAATCTTTGACCTCAGCAGGTTATATGTAAGTACACATACAAATAATACTGAAGGCAGACATTAATTGTCTGTTTAGATCACTGGTAAAAAAAGGGCATAAAAGATGGATAACCATAATTATGGGGTTATCATAAAAAAAAACCCAAAACAAAACAAAACAAAAAAACAGCTTAAACTGTCAAAATTCAGCCAAGTTTGAGAATCCTCTGATCTTCAACTCACTTACTGAAAATTCTGATTTTAACATTGCCGTAATTGTTATTAGAGGGGAGGGGGGGCGCTTGTTAAAATTCAACAATGTACAGCAAAATTGCCAGGGGAACCTCTCATTTCTTCTAACTGTTGCCCAGCTTTTATAAGCTGTACGCGTAGTTAATGCTATGCAATCTACAAAGGATAGAATGAAAACCGTCTAATGCTTTCAAATATAAAATGTTTTGAAGAAAAATGCTGCATTACATGCCCAAATGCATAGCAGTTTGCAGCAGACTTCTTTATTGTAGAGAGGAGGGAAGAGAAATGAGGGATACATGCTCAACTGGGAGGATTCTCCAAGCAGGGGATTTATTCAAGGGGGGAGGTAATAGAGAGGGACATGGGTTTTTTAGAGCATTTATAATACATTGCTTTGCAATTGCACAAACAGATCAGATGGAGACAGGTTGCACAGTCATTTTCAACTCCAAAACCTTCCCACATCGACCCAGTATAGGCCCCTTCTTCACGCTTTTTTGGCCAGAGAATTTGTATGTCTCCGACTGATGCTGGTTAATTTTTGCCATAGTTTGTATTTCTTCTCAAAATGTCTAAACAAAGTCAGTCCCCCCTCTCCGTTAAAAGCAGTAATACACAGGTTTTCAAATACTGTATTTCTATAAATGTGTATGGTTTCAACCGGAATTACAGCACCTGTGGTACTTCTGTACGGAGAATGCCAAGTTCTTTAAACAGACCCTAAAATATGAAAAAGTGGCCTGACAAAACTTCATGTCAACAAGGGGTCATTTTACATGAACCTTGCTGGCTACAATGTCTCTGTTCCCATAAGCTTGAATCAGGAAGGCCTGTTTGTACTGTCATCAACAAATAAGCTCTGATAGGTGAGCCAGTCTGGTTCATGCTATAATTCTTAATGTCCCTCAAAAACATGCTTTTTGTCAAGCTGCTAAATTGGTAGATCCATGAGATAGCCAAGCTCTGCTCTAGCAGAGCTTAAGTGCCACAGACCATTATTAACTTTGGTAGTCAAGAAGTTTTCAAGCTTTCATGAGTTTTGTGCACAAGATTTTTGACACAAGAGCCTTAGGGCTTCCATTGAATGCACCAAGTCAAACAAAAGCAAATATTTAAATTGAGTTGCATCATTAAATAAAATCGCACAATCTGATTGGTTAACAAAGTGAGGTATTTAGCATGGAATTGCGAGTTGAAAACAAAGCTAGGTGATATTGTTTTGCATCTACGTATACGTAACAACTATGAGTAATACTACTTGACTCGTGAATTCCACTTTCAACTGCACTGGAAAACTGATATCACACTTATTGCTCCACAATTTATGCCATAATGGTTTTCGCATGCAATTTAATGCTGAATTCCCTTGTCAAGTAATGAATTTTTTAATAGTGTTTACACCTACCATAAATATCTCCTGCTTGAACAGAGGGATAAAGTTTTGGTTCAGGAAGTACAAGTTCTTTAATAAGCTGAATCCACTCAAGTGACTCTTTTTCAGTATCCGCACTCAGAAAAAGTTTGATTTCCATACCCACAAGTAAAAAACTGTGATTATGTGTCCTTGAATGAGCATGTGAGACAGAAGTTAAATCTTCCAGTGAAATACTGGTACGATGTCTACCCTCGGAGCATGCTTTCTCTGTCAGATAATATTCTAAACGAGGTTGTCCCCGCGGAGATTTCCTTCTCAAAACAAACCATTTTCTTTTCCAAATCTAAACAAAGGAGAAATATGTCAAGTTTTACAGATCATCTTGTGTTTCTAAGACAGCATTTTTTCATGTAATCTAGCTTTCAAATACCAAGTATAAACATAGGGGCATGAAAGATGTAATATCTTACAATTCTTTACCCGAGTAGAGGTTAATAATTGTTTTACTGTGTACAATAAGAGCTAAATATCATTACAACAAAAAACTGTTCTGTCAAATCTCAGGATTTTAAAAATCTTGCACTCATGGAAGTGCTCATTAATGCTCATAAATAGAAAGTTCCATCACACTTTCTTGGGGACAAAAATAACTTTCCGGGGCACTGTTCCTCTGTCAAGTCTTAAATAAATAACACCTCTTCAAACCAACATGGTCTCAAATACATTAAAACCAAGTTGACCTTGGTCAAAGAATGATGGAGAGCTTAAACAAGATGCAAATTGGAAAGACTGGCCTTCATCTTGCTTAGTAGGATGGAGCAGAAAAATCATAAATTGTTGGTAAAGACATTCTTGATGCAGGGGACCCCTGTGCAACATGAAAGATAAATATAAGAAATGAAAAAAATCAATGGTTCCTTATATTCCTCTTATATCTCAGACAGATATTTGAAGCATGCCAGTAGCGGAAAAAAAAAAACAAAAACAAAAACAAAACAAAAAAAAAAACAGTGAGTAGCTAGGATAATAAACCTCAGTGGGGACATCTAGAGGAGACCAACAACTACAGGACTGCATTTCAGGAGCTACAAGTGGGTTACAGCACATCTTGGAAAACTTAGTCCACATTTTTCCATTATATCTTTTGCTGCCATACCAGTCTCTGCTACATTAACTTCATCAGGGTTTGTTTATATGACTGCATTTTTGATTAAAGATTTGAACGCACTTCTCCAGGATAAAATGTTCTGACAAATTCAGTAGTAAGAGAAAATAATAACATGGCAATATGATTCATAACAAGTTCCAAGTACGAATGATCTTGAACAGGCCATCAGTTTAGCCAGAGAATTCTATGTAGTTGCTGAAAAAGTTTTTGATCTGTGATACAGTCAAACCTCAATTATCCAGACTCATTAGGACTAGACAAAATAGTCTGCATAATCGATGGTTTGGATAATCAAGAATGTGAATATTAATGATGAACAAAAACTGCTTAAAATTAAGAAAGCGACATTTAATCCTGAAAAAAAAAAAACATTTACAAATCATTTTGAAAAAGACACAGTCTACATTTTCACTCTCCTGTGTGAATACCTCTGCACATGTATTAATTAAAATTTATGAAAAATGTTTTTACATTGGCCTAAAATGATGAAGTAAGTCGGTTTGTTTTAAAGAAGAACATTGCCTTTACTTCACTTTTCAATGCTGTAGTTTTGAAAAGAATATGGCTATGGACTAATAAATATTCATGAAAAAATTGGGACCAGAGAAAAAGTTTTTCTGGATAATCGAGGTTCAATTGTACCCAGATAATGAAACCTGAAATGAAGAAATGTCGGCGACATAGCCACATCTCAAAGTCCAAGTGGTTGCCTAACCTAAAACGCTGTTCTTAGATTTTCAGGTTTACATTCAAAATCGAGATATCAATACAGTTGAACCTTGATTATTCAGACTCATTAGGGCTTGGATAAATAGTCCGGATAATCGAGAGTCCAAATAATTGAAAATATGAATATTAATGAGACAATTATAAAAAAAAAAGAAAGGAAATAAAGATAACACATTTTTAATTCTAAAAGTCTGCTTCAATGACTACAAAAACATGTACATGTATGAATTGCACCTATTTAAAAATGAAAACCTATACGTCATTTCTAAAATAATGAAGCATACTAGTTTGCTTTAAAGTCTTACGACAAGATCGCATGGTGAAGTCCATCATACTGAAAAGTGGTAGCATGACTTGAAGAGGATTAAAATTGTTTCGTCTGTCATAATCTCTGAACTTTTTACCTCTTAAAGTTTTGAAGATCAAAGTTCATTAATATTCATGAGAAAAAAGGGACCAGAGAAAAAGTCCACATAATTTAAAAGTCTGGATAATCAAGGTCCAGATAATCGATGTTCAACTGTAATTCTGAAATATTTGGAACGACAAAAAAATCGATATTGACACAGGATACACTGCGTAGTTTGCTAAGGTCTTCACTACAATTCCTTACATTTAGAATTAAAAATCTGGCTTGTGGCTGTTAATTTACTGTGAATTTCAAGAGACGCACCCTCAAACCACACATACTCTAACACCGATGACAGTGGGTTAACTGTTGGACAACATGGAGGTTGAAACAGATACAGAAAAGGAGAGGAAAACTTCAGAATAGCTAATAGTACTGATAGGTGGAGAAAAAAATTTAAAATCCTTCAGAACTATGTGAAGATGAAAGATCTAGGAATTGTTTTTACAAATTAATCAGTTTCCCCAACAATGATTCATGTTCTGTTTCTTCAGTGTTACTAATATGACCTGTGAGCCTGATAAGTTCCACTGAGAATCAAATCTACACCAATCAAGTATAACAGATATCAGATGATCCAACCTGCTTGAACAACAGATGTCAGACAGGTCTCATACAAAGCAATGATCATGTGCATGAATGGCAGCTTGCCAAACTTGTAATAGCTGCCAGCTGTAAGATGAAAAACATCGAAATAACACCTGCCAATAACCTGTCTGCAGTAAACAACAACTTGGCTGGATTGCCAATGGAAGAGATCCAATTTTCAACTAAGATATTGTTGTTCCTCTGAACAGATAATTTAATTAAGTTAATTTAAAGTTGAAGTAAAATTTTTTTATTTTTTTTGTGTGTGGCTGACTTCTAGTACATTCTGAGTGATTGTCTATGCAAAGAATTTTGAACCTCTTCAAGTTGACATTTCCAAGTTGTTAAGCATGTAAGTCTTGTCAGCTCTTTGTGTGTGCCAATGTAGATATGTCAAGAGGAGGTCTTCATAGTTAATCACCTTTCAAAAACAAAAAAATTAAATCTGGAAGCTATTGGCTGATTAAAAGATTTCTCGTCTTGAGGATACAAACTCGCTTCAAGAAACCTGGCTTGAAAGAACATAGTGGTTTTACTTAGTGGTTTTATTACTGCTATTTTATAACTGACACATGAATAAAGTTCATCAACATAGCCTACTAAATGATACAAAATTATTGCCGTCACATCATATCCTTTCTACGAATATTGCATTTTGTGTTGTTGTGTTTGTTCAAAGTTGTTTACTTGCCCCCCCACTAATTAGGGGATATTACACATGTAATATAATTTCACTACTGCAGATATTCCTGACATTAAAACCGACCTGGAGAACCATGGTTGTTTTCAGTGATCTGCGATTAGATGTTCTTGCACCGAATAATTTTTTCCCAATTTTTTTTAGGACACGAATGACCGAGCTGACGGTAACTAACGAAAAATTGAAGCCCTTGAGTCCCGTTTCAAGAATTCTATCACAACGGGAATATATAGGTTTCCACTGCGATGCGAGCATCTATTTATTTCGTGTTCGAAAGATTCAAGCAGAGGCGCTTCTTGTAAGTAATAAAGGGATCACTCCAGATGGCCAATATACATTAAGTGTACTCTTCTTTTACGGTGTTTACTCTTTCCCAACATGTAGGTAATTCGCCCCTCGCTATTGTTCAAAATCTTATGTATATTTCATCGCCAACGATGCCAGTTGCAGGTATTCTTAACACCAGAAAAAAACAACTTTAAGTACAAACGGCTGGCAATGTGAGGAAATTGGTCTCCTTCATCTGAAAAGACAGAATTTTTTATCTATACCAAGAATGTTTTAATATCGTTGCCCGTTGCCCGTTGCAGCCGGCGACCTGTGACAGTTTAGAAGGATAATTTCATCTGTTGACACTTTTGTACAAAGATGGGCCGAACCTTATCGATTTTGAAACGGCGGAAGGAAGAGAACGAATCCATGTGCCATTAACGTGGAAAACATTGAGGGGGTTTGACTGATTGTTCTTAACGACAGCAGACACCTTAGCTACAACATTTGATTTTAATTCATGCGCGAAATGAAATTGACAATTTTGCTGTCAAACATTTCTCAAGAAACAACCTTCTATTCGCACAAATTTCACATGGTTTAATTTTCGAGTTCAGGAAAAGTACACTTAACCAATCAAACGAAAAACTAGCGTTATTAAGTTTCAAATGGCGATGAATTTACAATACTTTTTCTAGCAGCTGAACAACTTGTTTACCAAAGTACGATTTCAAGTGAGGGTTTGAAAATGTCGCCGAATTTGGCAATTCCTGCTCCTGGTTACTGACAAGTTTTCATCTGTGTATTCTAGTTATCAACCCAGAATAGTATTCAATCAGATGTGGCGAAGAAAACAGAATATTCCTTACACAAATCAGAGTAAATACTACCATTAGTTATACAGTAATTATTCACCCCATACGTGCACAGAATATATTAAAATGCTCGTTTGACTTGTAGTTAGAAAAGCCCAGTTAGCAGATACTTTAAGGAGAAGAAGAAATCTTAATCAAAGTCAAACTCGCCTTATGTGTGAGCTTTCTCTGTTTCCGCGGAAGCTTCATTTCAAGAAACCCGCACTTTACCAAATCCTCGACGTAACTTGCCATGGTCACTTTCATCTTCCAAATATTTCATACACGTCCAAGAAAACGAAAAGAGAACACAAATAATCTCAGCGATTCACTCCGCTTGAGTCAGGATATAGGGAGCTGTGAGTGAAACATCGCTTTCCACGCTGCACCGGTCGAAATCCTTTGAAATACAAGTTGTTTGTCAACGATCGCGCTATTGTTTTTCAACCTCGCAGGCTATTTGTCATGTTGTGATGAGGGCAGTTGTGACGCTCGTTCCAGTGCTTCGGCGCGCCAATAGATAGCAACAAGCCGTCACGCTGAATCATTCATTCATTTCAGTGCGATTTAGATTTGCAATGATTAAAAAACAAAACACCAATATCTACTGCGAATGAAATTCTCAGTTAGACAGAGAGCCTTTTATGTCAGAATATCACGTTGTCTAACTGCCGAAATTTTCAATTCGAAAATCACGCGATGAACCGTGTGTTGGAGAACATCATAAGCGTAATATAATTAATGTGGTCGAACACGATCGAGCGCGTTTGAACTTCACAAAAGTGCATTTTAAGGCCGATTTAAATATCTCCGGTTTCTATTTTCATGCTCTCGTGTTTCAACTATGTAACTTCAATTTTTGCCCTAGGCGGAAGGTAACCACTCCCACATGATTGCTGCTCTTTGAATAACAAGTGAGTTTCTAATCGAAGACAATTGTGTTGTTTGAGCAAGATCGAAAACTTTTCGCGGAGGACGCAGCTGATTTCATCATCTTACACCTGCAAAACTGCTAACGTAGACCGACTGACTGTCTTCAGTTTTCAGTTTTGTATGGTTATAATACGAGATCGACTGTCCAAAGTCCGCGGAATATCACAAACAAATCTATCCGCACGCTAGCTAGTTTGTTTTGAAAGCTTTATATTATAAAGTTATGCATTTTAAGCTTTCTCTAACAGCGAACACTTTCAGTTGCATTTATTCCACTTTTAGTCACAGAGTTTCAGAGAAAGCTAATGACATTCACTGAAGCAAGCGAAGGTTCAATCTTTGATTTGCGTGTGATGATGGGACGTTGCGGAAGTGACATCTACAACAACATGTAGCCTTAAAAACAACTTGACTTCGTTCAAAACAAAGTACTTGAGGTTTGAATTATTTTGTTCTCGACTGGCCAATAATCCGTTATTGCAGAAAACAGAATGTGAACCAACGGGTGGCATATGTATTAATATTTCCCCGATATCATTTCGTTGAAAACGTCTTCAATAAATATTCGTCGCGGAAAATTGTAGTGAAACAAAAATTGGCTAATTAATGCAAAATTTGTGAGGTCCTACGATAAACAACAAGTCCGAGAAATCAGTTCATCTTTTATTCATAACAAGTCCAGATGTGTTCATGTAATGGCTTTGTTTCCAGAAGAATTGAGTGTTTTGAAATGTAGCTATTTATATTGGGGCATGACTCAGCTTTAAGCCAATGATGCGTTACAAGTAAAGGAAATATTTTTGCGCTATTTTTGACGTTTTTGATATGAAGTAAGTGTCATATAACTCCAGTTCATAAGTGAAAATGGATGATATTGAAAGAAGATGGCTGCAGTGTTAACCTTTGACTATAAAAAGGCATCAACGACGTGGGAATATTGTAAGATAAAATTGTTTGACGCTGATACTGCGCACACAAACGTTAAGCGAGTATACTGCACGGAAAAATTCCGGAATTTAAACGCTGAAAAACACTTCCTGTAATTCTAAAGTGCTCTTGAATAATAATTTCTTTCGTTTGAACCCATACTTGTAGCCATATTTGCGGAAAACTGTGCGCATAAGCAACTTTGTGGTGAAGGGCTAGAAGATCTGTCAGAAAGATCTATTGATCAATTCAGACGCCGTCGGGGCGCATTGCTTGGCCAAAGTTTGTGTCTGAGACACAAACTTTCTTGGCTTCCTTTTCATGAAATCATTCTTTCACTTATCGTTATTCACTTTTCTATCTAATTGCTTATTGTTTCCCTGAAAGTTACTTTAAACACCTCGAATTTAAAACGATTTTTTTTTTTTACGCGTGTTCGGTTCCTGGCAACTGATCAAGTACAAAGATTTTTGTTTGGATTAGCAGTAAATCTGTTTACAAGTCATGTAAAATAAGTGAAACCCGCGGTTAAAAAAAAAAAAAAAAAAAAAAATGCCAATATTTGTGCATGGCCAAATTTCGCTAAACTTCAAAGGAGCCGAAATCCTGCCTTGGAGGCTTCCAAATTTTTTTAGCAAATCAAGCAATCATGTTGTTTTAACTATTCAACTGTCGAACTTTATAAAGCATGTCAGGCAACTATCTAGAAGCAGATGCTACCCGCAGAACAGCCAACTGATGGCAAACCCACAATACTGAGAACGCTATGTTGTTTTTCCAAGACTAAGAGGCCATAAGGCTAAAAACCATAAGGCTAAAAACCATAAGGCTAAAAACCATAAGGCTAAAAACCATAAGGCTAAAAACCATAAGGCTAAAAACCATAGGGCTAAAAACCATAAGGCTAAAAACCATAAGGCTAAAAACCATAGGGCTAAAAACCGTAAGGCTAAAAACCATAAGGTTAAAAACCATAAGGCTAAAAACCGTAAGGCTAAAAACCATAAGGCTAAAAAGTAAAACTGCACACACAACCCGAAAGCGAGGAAAATACGATTCATTCTTGCCCACTTGTTCCCTCGAATTGTTTTAGCATCCAGTGAAGGGTTTAACTTGGGATTGACATATCTACCCGTATCAGTGAAATTTTGGTTAAAACATGTAGTTCCGGTGCGACTTTCTCCAAAATTTGGAAATTGCGAAATTCATGTTCCTCGCGAATAATTGGAAAATATTTTCATCATTATCATCATCTTTATTTGCCTTATTTTACCAATAAAAAATATTTAATTACAGCGATAACAGTTGGAAGGCGGGGAGACCCAAGAGGCCACCAGGCTTATGGGAGAGCCACCTCACTTACAATAATAAATTAAGTAAAGAAAAAGTGATGCGAATGTGCGGCTTGGCCAATTCAGTGATTATTTAAGTAAAAATTCTTGCAATTTCGTTTTAAAGCTGAGAAAGTTTGACGAACGAGTGACTGAAATAGGGAGAGAGTTCCAAATTTTAGGACCTTGGTAGAGAATTGTAAATTGCTTGACATTTGTACGGCACAAATGCGTTCGATAATTACTGGCTGTTCTGGTACCATAGTTGTGAATTNAGGAAGTGTGGTGTGTAATTTATTCCTCTTGGTGTTCTCTCTGGAGGCACTCTCTCTAACTTGTTGAATTGATTGGGCGCAGCAGATGGCTGGTTTATCAAAAATGTCCACACACCCTCTGGTTTCTTCGATGGGTAACGCATCTCAGGGAATTTTGGGTAGGCCAAAGGTCAAAAAAAAGATCCTGTGACTCCTGAGATGTTATAAGCGCTCGTGAAATGAAGTATAACAGGTTTCTATTTTCCTGGAATCTTCCAAGACGGACCAATTCCGAGATGGGTCATGGATTATTATCACAAGGTCAGACCTTCCTACTTGTCCTGTCAAGGCTTTAGAGGACTACATAACAGTTTCACAAATTGACCTCTCTGAAGATTTACCTTTGTTTAGAGCCCTTGCTACTCCTTGTTCAAAGCAGAAAGTAAGGAGCCAGGGTATTAGTTACACCAGAGCCAGAGAACTTATTAAAGACGCTTTCAGAGAACTTACAACCGTTTCTAAAATTAGTAGCCATAGCCTTAGAGCTGGAGGAGCCACCTCTACAGCTAACGGTTGGAGTTCCAGATCGGCCGGGTCATTGGGCCAGCGAAAACGCTAAGGATGGCTATGTTAAAGACAATTTAAATTCTCCTTTATTAGTGTCACAATCTTTAGGAATCTAGATAACACGTTTAGTCACACAGTGCCCGGCAGGTCGGGAGAGTGCTATCCACTGGGCCGGGGATTCCCACCCCCCCTTTTTTTACCGCAACGAGCGCGGTGGGGTTTATTCATCCAATGGAAACTCGTTGGTCTTCTCCCAGGTTCTGTTTTTTCGTAGACTATCTTTGTTATATGCACCTTTTATAGCTGCTGTGTTGGTTTTTATTCATTAAACATGCCGTGCAGCCTCTAGTGAGCACGTGATAGCAAATATATTATGTTTTTTCTGTTGATGTCACGCATGGTTAGTGTGTTATCAGGGAGTTTAGACGAGAAATGAATGAATGAATGAATGAAAAACTTTATTTAAGTGTCTATGTTTTTAGCTATAAGCTAATGGGGGGCACTAAAAAATTTAAAAGTCACATACATTTACATATGTAGATGATAGTTATTTACAGTAGATAATTAAAAAGATTATAAAGTTATTTAGTTAAGTTTTAAATTTCAACGAGAGTTGAAAGGTCGACTTTTCTTATGTTCTTCTTGAACATTCTTGAGAGGGGGAATTTCTTCCACATCAAGAGAATGAATGAAATTGTGGAAGCATTATCAAATCAAAGAGTTGGTGTTTAAATATAATCCTGCTGTTTTGAACTTGCTTTAACTTGAAATAACATGACCACCCCATCCCAAGCATACAACTGAACTTACCTACTGCATGGATTATGATATTACAAGGAAGATTTCCAGGTTTGGTAACAGCAATCCCACCAGTCTTTATGGGGCCATGTTTAGCTACGTATTCATCACTTTCAGTTTGAATTTGATATCCGCCATTTTTAACAATTGCTCCAGCTACCTGGCACAGTGAGAGGGTAATTTAAACAAATCATTGAGTTATGAATTACACTTTAGTCTGGCCTTACAGAATGTGTGGCTGGGGGAGTTCAAGGAAAAGTGGGGTAGGATCGCTTATTTAAGGCCTAAGGGAGAGCTGGAGGGGCTAAAGAGGTGGGGCTTATCAAAATTATATCAATTTACTGATGGTCAGCTCCAAGTTCCACACCTGTCCCCTTTAGAAGTTGTCAGATGAGGAAAAGCAAATTTTAGAAGAGTTTGAAACATTTGAGAAATCTTTACAACATTAATAATGAAACAATTCTTAGATATTGGAGTTGAGGAAATCTGGAAAGTAAGCTCCCACTGACACTTTCATCTCTGCATTAATTCAACATTATTACAATGAACAAATCAACAACTTACTCCTCCACCATGTTTCAACCAGGAGTTTGCAGCATTAACAATTGCATCCACATTTTCCTTTGTCAAGTCATTCTGTACAACTAAGAGAAGAGCAAAACAGAGAAATTTGTCACAATGAAGTCTGATGAGCCATTTCATGATACAATTACTACTTAAAATGTGGACATAACCTGAACAGAACATAAGTTTCTTACCTTCAATCCTTTTGTTTACATTTTTGTCAGGTGCACTGAATATCACTGTTGCATGGACAGCAGCCTAAGAATTGTTTTAAAAAGTTTAGCACTGCACATATTTTAAGTAGAGGAGAGTGAAAAAATTGCTTTCTGTACCCTACCCTACCCTCCCCCCTCCCCCACCTTACCCTTGAGAATGACAGGTGGTAAATGGGGTTTACATTTTCCCTTTACAGACACTCTTACTGATAAAAAAAAAAAAAATCAAATGGCCCAAAGGAAGGCCTGAAAAAATTAAGGATGAAAAGCAAATGCAGCTTTTATTGGGAGCTTTCTACCTGAATTCAATTCCTCATTTTTGTGCTCACACATTGAGACCAAATAAATCAATGAAACACTTCTCCTAAATAATCAGTCACCTAGTTCAAAATGATTGGGACACTACAAAACATTGTGTAACAAAAACCTAACAGACAACTACACCAAAGTAATCCCTTGGATTTTAGAACCAGTTTGCACTTAATGAATGCTTTTCTTTGAGTCCAAATTCTGACCAAGTTATCTCTCTCATTTACATGCCATTGAGAGAATGTGATAAGAAGGAGCAAATGAGTTATTAACCATTATTGGCAAGCAGATCAATTGTATACAGTGGCTGAAGTTTAATTAAGAGTCTGATTGATAGGTAACTGGCAAATTTGCCCCATTGCAAGTTTCCCCCCACAACCTATGCAAATTTTCCCCCTAACTCAAAACAAGTTTGCTTCAATTTAATTTCTTTAGCTGCGATGAAACAACTAAATATAGCCTTGTTTTTAACCGCACAGCTAAGAATATGGGCAAATTCACCATAATCCAATTCATCAGTGCAAGACACTGAAAAGCTACCAAACATTTTGGGCAACCAAGTTTACCAATGGTTCCCTTGACAAATTCTTGTTTCAAAATTAACTGTTGGGGAATGACTTTCGAACAGCTCAGAGATGCGGGTCTCTGCGACTAAAGGAATGAACAGAGTGTTTTTTTAATGGCAAAGCACAGTTCAATGGTGTGATGTTTGAAGTCATTATTATCATGTTGTGGGCTTATGCCATACCTGTGCAGCGAGAAAATTGTATGGAAATTGTATGGGAAAAATAGGGATCTCAGAGGAGAAAAAAAGGCATGTTTCTCTCATAGGTTTCTCTTGCAGCTCTTCCCTGTTCACACGGGCTAGCTTCTGGCCGATGAAACGGAAAGGGAGATGGGGGAAATTTCATGGTAAGAAAACAAAACATTCTGTTCATGTCTAATTTCTTGCAACATTTGTAACATTGACTGAAAATAACGTTCCCTTAGAGACTCTAAGGGAACTGACTGCTGAAAGCTGTGATGGATGTTTTTAATTTTGTAGTGGAGGAACTTATTTTCGAAATGATCGATTATGGTCCAATTTGAGATGAATTAAAGTCAATAATATATAGACGTTACAACGCAAGGAGAATTACAGCTATCATTTAACACAAACGTAATTAGAGTAAGTTATAGCTAGTATCTTAACTCAACTCGGTCTGGGACCCTGTTGAGTTAACGACTGACATAAAACAACGTAAACAACAGAGTCAAAATAATAAGTTAATATGATAATGACAAAATAAAGAAAACATCCACCATTAAACCCCGGTAAACCCAATAAATATTTTGACTTACCCCTGACAGACATCTGGCTAAACAGCTGCCAGTGCTTCTATTTACAGCTCTGACTAGATACCAACATGCACCCTGACCGGAGAAAAACATATCGCATACCTGCAGCGTCTTTAAAGGGAATTTTCGCAGCTAAAAAAGCAACTGCATTAGATCGATGTAGTTACAGAATTCTTTCTAATTTGCTGCATCCCTTGGAGACGCGTTTAAAGAATGACTGGAGGAAATGCCGAGCTCACGTGAGCCCTCAAACTTTCTGTTCAGCAACACCCGAATGAGTCATTGATGTCTGGGTAGAAGTTACAAAATGTCCATTTTATCTAGATCTATTTATTATTTTATGATTTTTATCTTTATTTTCCCCGGTGATAAGTCACTAACCTTTCAAAAATGCAGTTGTTGGTCGTCCAAATCTTATTTTTCTTACTTAGAGCAAAATTGTTGTATTATTCCTTTGTTTTCTTCTTATTTGAAAAAATCCCACTCTGCACAAAGATATTTAGTTTCGTTTGTAATACACGTGTCAGTAACAGGGCTCATAAGCCTCACGATCATACAAAATTCTATCTGCTCTCTTATTATCCGTATCAAGTCTCTACATCCAGCTTTATTCCGCATATTTTCGAACGACCTCTGCCAACATGATTGCTCGTGTCACGCACACCGGAAGTTGCGTGACAAATAAAGATATGCCACCTCACAAAGATCATTCTATGAAGCGCCGCTTGTAAATACCAGTGCTGTTATCAAAAATCGTTCAACCTTCTCTGCCATGTATCTTCTACTGGCATCGACTTTGTTGTGCTTAAGCTTTGCTGCCTCTAATGGAGCGCAATCACGTTATCGACAGCGAATTCTCGTTCTCGGAGGTGACGGAATGCTAGGAAGTGAGACGGTCGCTCGGCTGAAGCTGAGAGGACATGACATCACAATCGCGCACCGAGGAACGTGGTATTGGGACTCTGCTCTTAGAATCAAACCTTGGGTCAAATTTGTGCCGTGTGATCGAGCTCAGTTTAACGACTGCGCCGAAAGACTGGGAGATGTTGCAAGAGAAAAAGGCATGTTTGATATGGTGTTCGACTTTAGTGGATACAGACCTGGTTATATCAAGGTGAACAGTCACCCTTTGTTATAATGTAATAGCGATGTTTATTGTAAACAATTTGTTTGTTTTATCATACGGGTAGTAAACGCAACATATCCTGTCGGTGCGTTTTACAGAGCGCGTTCTTCTACTTAGCGTAATGTAATGTTAATGAAAATAAAAAATATTCAACGAGCCAAGGCATGGTATTTTTATCCTTTCTAATCCGTGGAAGCGCTCGTGTCAGAAGCGATGCGTGACTCGTCCATTAGTACATTTGTTTTGTCGCATTTCATTGTGATCTGTCAGAGTTACCGTTGCGTGACATTTTCCATGCGACACTATATTAGGTCTGTTAGTAAAGTACATTTGCCACCTTTGGAAGACCCTTTGGAAAAGGTGACAGAATAGTTGAAGCAAAGTTTACCGCTTTTGACAGAAATCATGCGTATGTGTGAACCTCGACACTCGCTAAAATAAATTCATGGACATTGGAGGTTAAAATAAGAAAGTTGAGATTCCAGGTAACGAGTATCTACTGAATGATATCAAATGCATTTCTCTCTACTCTAAGGTAGTCTTGATTGTTTATCACCCCGTCCTTTTTAAGAGCATTTTTCGGGAAGCGTTAACTTATGCTCTTGAATCAGCTACGCCCAGTTGGGCTTGGTAAAGATTGGAGCTTAGGGCAATTGTATGGAAACGTTTATTGCCTCCCCCCCCCTCTACCCCCTACTCCCCTCCCCACGGGTTTCTTCTTTCTCAGTCTTTTTTTTGTTTGTTTGTTTTCTTTTTACTATCCACAGGATTTTATGCTCAAGATGCGTAGCAAGATTCGTCGTTATATTTACATCAGCACTGATTCTGTGTATGAGGTCTGTGAGGAACCTTCCCACGAGGGACCCACTCTTGAAGAGGATGCCAAGCGCCCAAAGGATCCTAAGACAAGAGAGGCCTATGCTCAGAAGGACGCTTACGGAAATGCGAAGTTGGAGTGTAAGTACATTTAGCCTGTTTGATATATTTTGCATCTTTTTGGGTTCAAGTGTTATTCTTAAAAGGAAATGATTGGACAGTTTTCTGATATTACTGGCTTTGACCAGGAGCCCATTGCTGAAGTAGGATAGTGATAATGTAGTCAAACCGTTTACACAATTACCCAATGTTATACAGACCTGCTGAGAATAGTATGTTCTAAATCTGTGAACCCTTTTCCAAAGACAACTTAGCCTGCGAGCAAGCCCTCATCATTGTGAGCGCCACAGGGCAGGAGTTGAGACGAGTTGGGTAGAGGTTTTTTTAGGGGTCTGGCACTATTAGTTCTAGACCCCTCTCACCGGCTCGCGTTGTTCAAGGCCTCATACTTTCCCGCATGCGAGGAAACGCTCTTGCCAAAGCGCTAACAATAAAGGCCTTCTCAATTTTATCCCTATTCAAATGCCAGATGTAGCAAAGATTTTTCAAAGGGGGAGGTGGAGTATTTGGAAAAGATTTATGCCGAACAGAATTTTCGAACTCGCGCGTTTTTATCACCAGAACGATAAATTTGTATGTAGCGTACTCAAAAGAATATTATAGTCTGCGAGCAGGCCCTCATCATTAGCACTTCATCACGAGCGTTTTTTGCGCTCGCTGAAATGCATGACAGCACCACGAGCCGGCGAGGGGTCTCCTTAATCTTCTCACGGGTGGAGAATGTGCGTTTTGCAGCCCCCCCCCCCCCAAGAGGAGGGGGAGGGGGGTGTCACAAAAAACGCCATAATCCTCCCCAACCACGCCTTTACAAGCTTAGAAGTATTGTCTTAGTGCAGACGCATTTGTCTCCTAGGTGAAGAGGTTCTCAGAAGAGAACACGAACTATGGAACATTCCTTTTATGATTCTTCGCCTTCCTGACGTTATTGGAGTGCGAGACAACACTGATCGCCTCTGGCGCTATCTCCTTTGGATGCGTTTCCACGACATCTTGGACAAACCTGTAGAACTGCCGAAGAGTCTTGAAAACAAGCCACTGAGTTTCGTCTTAGCAGAAGATGTCGCAAATCTATTGATTGTCCTACCTGAGTACGACGAGAACGTGTACAACTTCGCTTACAACCTAGCTTTCCGCGAGACTGCAACGCTGGAAGAATTTCTCCAAATTGCGGCGAAGCATCTTGATGTTCCTGACGTAAAATTTGACAAGTCTAGCGAGAGTGGAACGTATTATTATCCCTCAGTGACGCGCGGTCCTATAGATATTAAAATGGCATGGGATTATCTTCGTTGGAATCCGCACACACTTGACCACGCTATTAGAAAAACAGTTCAATTTTACGAATACGCAATGCGTTCAGAAGATTTTAAAGAGAAGAGAAAGGCAATCCTGAACAGTTTGCCTATACCTGGTCATGCCATGGAAGCGTTTAAACGACGGCTAAAAGAGGTCTACGGCTTAGACTATGATAGACAAGCAGTTGTCAAGGACGAGTTATAACCATTGAAGTGCCTACGGAATCAGTCTAAGCAGCTTTCTAATTGACAGACTTTCAGCATACGATTACGAGCACCCTCTCCTTCTAAGCGTAACCCGTCTCGTTAGTCGATGCCCACACCGCTAAGTGCATTGTGAAGTGCTAATTAAAGGCTGTGGGTAGAGGTATTTGTTTTGCTAGATGGCTGAACGGATCTAATAAAAGATTTTTACAACAGGTAACTCCCTGTAATAAACTGGACATCCATATTTTATTGGTATTACTTGGTCTAACTCCAAGACTTCAAGGCACAATGGACGTCAATATGTTTGCTATCCCTATTTTTTAACAAGAGCAGTAAGTTCAACTCAATATAAATTGTTTGTAAAGGATTACAGGAAGAGAAAGTCGGTAATCAAGTACAGTTACAAAACGACTTTGAGAACCACACAGTTCAGGACTACCCCTTCACAATTAGTTGAAGTAACTTAATTTAATCAAGGACAATATCTAAACAAAAATGTGATCAATCCTGAATATAAGAGGGCTACGTTAAGCTGATAACCTAAGGGGAGGAATCGGGAAATGTTGGTGTACTTGTGCAACCAATCATAAAAAAAAAAAAAACCCACGACTTAACTAGAGAAGAAAGGAGAGGTTCGAAAATGGTAAAAATCATCTCGATTTCTAAAAGACAAACTATAAAAGAGAAGAATCACGGAGCGCAACATGACCCTTGTACAGCGGCAAACTATTCCAACATGGCATATAAACTCCTATCTTTGCATATTTACAGCACGTGCCACTTCAATCTGTGAAGTGCGTTTTAAGTGAAACCTCAAGGAAAAGAGTACATCTCCATAACAAAAGGGACAATAACTATCTTTTCGAATTTTTGATGCCCCAAATCATGTAAACAAAAAAAAAAAAAATGACAAAGTGATCCATGAAAATCACTAGCAACAAACTGGGCGAGACCTGTCAACATTGGAAGGCGCCAGCGCTTTCATCACTGCCGCTGACTTGCAGGACAGCGTTGAATACGGTTCTCGTCCTCTCTTAGTAGCTTTATGTTCTGAACAAATAGCGCCAGCCGTCTGAACATAACATTCTCATTTCCATAGGCACTGATCAAACTGACTTTAAATTAAGATCAGGCAAATAAAAAATCTTTCAAATTTACTTATCTACTGACACTTAAGAGAGGTATTTGAAAACCCACTCTGAACTTACTGAAAACTCTTACACCAACAGAGCTCGTAAAAAGTAATACTGTAAATCAAGCGACCGCACTCCTATCATTATTTTAAATACAGGATGAAGACTACTTTTTTTGAGCTCTGATATTAGCGCCGCTGGTTAAATTTCTACCTACAGCCCTTGGTATATATATATATATATATTATAAATCTCAGAACTTTAGCGCAGCATTCATTTCATTACAAAAGCTTTACAGCTCTATTAATGGAAACATGCAAACTATTGACACGATAACATTTCAAAACGCGTCGCACATCCTTAAATATTATAAAACCTTTCCATGACAATTTATAGCCATAACAACAATTTATCATTAAAGTAAACCTTTTTTCTGATCACGCGGTTTGATCATAGCCTGAACCGCTCATACATACTCTCCTCCGTCCTCTAAAACCGTTTTATGGCACCATATTGACAGCATACACGCTGTCGTAAATACGGTAATTATACGATTGTCTTTTCACCAACCCATTTCAATTGTTTCCACAGCGAAGTGAATATCACCTTTCAATTACAAAATTGGGTTCTGTCCTCGTGTACCGGTTCACAAGAGCCAATACAAAAGACCAAACAATACACAATAGCTAACCAATAACTCCTAAACAAAGAAAGAACAATGGTGATTCCCTTGTGAACCGGTACACCAGGACAGAACCCAAAATTGACACGACGAGTTCATCAACTTGATCCTTGTTTCAAATTATGACACGCCAGAGTAATTTTTTTCAGACTCAGTTAGTACCTCTAACAGCTTTATAAATATCAAGACTGCTCGCCTTTGTCTTTTGCCTTGGCCTCAATTAACTTTTTTTGACGCCGAATTTGTTTCTGTAGCATGCTTAGCCCTTCTTCATCCGAGTGGGCGCCTTCACTTGGTTCCTGACCCTCCCTGTTCAGTTCACTATCAGAAAGTCCGGTCCTTCTCTCCGGGCACGGCGGTGGAACGGATGATTTCCTCGCGGGAGGCATTGGCGCACTTCTACTCCGCGCAGCATGACTTGCCAGAGCTGCCATATGCGCCTGCTGAGCAGCAGTCGGTCGCCCTGATACACTCTGACTCCGATGGTACATGGATTTCGCTTTCTGCTGTGGTGCCCACCCGCTCGAATTTTCTTGTATACTTTCAGGATTTGAACGATGGTGATGCCCTCCATAACTGAAATATCCAGAATCACTGCTGTTCATTCCGCCAGCCGGCACCTCGCCATTACCTGAATAGCTACTTTGCGAGGACGTCTCACTGTCGCTACGTCGATTCGCCATTCCTTGGTAGTAAGGCGACATGGCGGAAGCCGATTCACTCATACACCGTGATCGAGTGCTACTGACAGCGTAAGGCGTGGCATACTGAGGACCTTGGATATTCCTTCCCGAAGGATCGTGGGACCTCGGGTGTTCTGCGATCGAGGAGGGAAGGTATACCTGTGCAAGCGAGGCAGAAGGTGACCTCTCCCCTGAGGAAGACGAATAGCAACCAGAGTCCGTAGATGTTGTCCACGATGTTCTGTCGCCTGTAGAGGAGAAAAGGAAACCAAATGAGAAACTGCTGAGTATCATAACTAATCACTGATTGCTGCCTCGAAGACTGACAAGCCACAGTAAAGTCAACAAGCACAACAAGGTTACTTCATTTGAAGCTAAAGAAACCCTGATTTAACTTTTTTACTCTCTTTCGCCCCAGGCCCTCGGCGACTTCCACTAGACCTACTTCTCATCCTTGGCTCAAACGTAAACGGAAAGAGACTTCTACCCAGGATAATTGACAAGCTTCTCTGATAGTTTTCTGGTACACAGTTTCATTTCTGGACAAAGAGAACGAAAGCGCTTAACACCAAAGACGCTTTTAGTCCTTGTGAACACAAAATAAGGACCCCTATCAAAATTCACACCCGAACCATTCGACACGGCGACTATCATTAACTTAAGAGTCTCCCAATAACTATAATACTTGACTTACCTGGGTGGGGTAAGGTGGGCACTGCTCCAGGGAAGGGAGGAGGGGGTAATGGTTCGCTCTGTAAGTCTCCCGAGTAACCGGGCGATAGCAGTGGAGTTGGCGGCTGAGGGAAGCTCTCTATGGACGGCGACCCAATAGACGAACCTAAAGATGACATTGAAGAGTGCGAGGAGGTGGAAGAAACACTAAAACTAGTAGAGCGTGCGCAGATCCGCGGGGGCGCGACTTTCTTGGGAGAGGTGGTGGGTGTCACCGATCCTAAGACCTTATTCCGCGTTTGAGTGTGTTTGACAGAGAAGGAATAATGCCGGCTGAATGCGTTGAAGTAGGGATCCGTTTCCGAGGGAGGAGGTGGAGGCGGAGTGGTAGGCGGGTCCCGGCCGGTATGCAGCGGACTTGTTGCCCTCGTCAGAGTTGTCGTTGGGCTCGGCGGAGGAGACTAACATTTAAAACAAAAGAGGAGGACGGTGAATTACAAAATGATCTGAGAGAACTTAGGATTAATACAATTTAACTTTGCTGCTACAGTTCGATCAAATATTTATCTCGTATCTTCAAGATCTGAGGTGTACATCTTCTCTCAAACTATCGCAAATTAATAACGTGTTATGATCGGAACAAGCAGAGTGAAAGAAGGAAAGGGGACAAAACCTGTTTTCCGTTTTTTTTTTTTCTTCCCGTGCGCCGGTCTTATCAACTACAGCCTTTCAGGATCTACATTGTGATTGGCTGGCAGTCGATTCTCCGCGCGTGTGCTGCAGACATACAGAGACAAAACTCGCGGACTTTAAGATATCGACATTATTTTTTGGCTTCAATGAGACAAAAACCCGGTAGAAGGGATTGGATAGGAGCAGCGGACTGGAAGCCAGTTTCTCAAGACAACCCATAATTTGATTCGCTCACTCGATCAAAAAATACGACCGTCCGCGTGAAGGTAGAGTCCTAAAAACGGCTGCTGTTCATGATTGGGCCTGAAGATTTTACAACTTGAGCTGAGGTCACCTTCAGAGTCAAGAAAAAGAACCGTTTATCTTACCTGGTCATCGTAGTTATGATGATCTGACAGTCTGAATTCTCGCACCAGATCCTCTCCTGCTAGCGGCAGATCGGAGGGATTTTTTGTCTGCTTAACGATGTCCTCCAGCACAGACTGAAGATGCTCTAGTTCTCCCAACATGGACATCTCGTGCTCCTGAAAGAGAACACAACCATGTTCTATCAACTCGACTTAACATAAAAGACGTAAAAGTAGTTGGAAGAACCGTAAAAGTAGTTGGAATAAAATGTATTTAAGTTTACAAAGCAATCAGATGGACCAATCAGACATGGTTTGATGCTACTCTGGTTTAGCTCATTATCTTTAACCCAGAGCAGCATCAAACCATGTAGAGTTAGAATAAAGTTTCCATTAAAAATAACAGCTCCTCACAAGTGAATGATAAACAGATCAATCCTTTCGGCGTTGTTCCAATCTTAAACCCTGATTCCTTTTATGTACACTAATAAGTAAGTCAAGAAAACACAGATTATTTGCTCTTTTGTGGCCTAACAATCAGACTTACCAAAACTGGCCTAAAACAAGTCGATAACATGCAGTATCTGCTCCTTTCCTCAACCAACACTCTCTGAAGGAATCGCTTCTCCTGCTCTTCAAACAAACCTTGTTGATAACTTGCTTGCTGTAAAATCAAGTCACAGGGTAAATCCACAACTCTGAAATCTGTGTTCTGCGAGAACTATGCTGAATACATAAATTACAGGTACAAGTCCACCCACTGAAAGCTGTATGCCATACATATTTTTGCCTAGGAAAACGACAAAAAAGATTCAGTTTTTTGCCTCAGTGGTAAAGCTACGGCAAAATTCTAACCGCAGTTAACTTAAACCCTCTAACCTCTAAGATTGATTGGCATCTAATTTCTCCTTACAGGATCCCTCTTGAATCAAAAGTTAAGCTCATGAGAATAAAAGGAATGATCAACAATTTAAGAAGCTCCTGACTGCCAAACAAAATTCTCCTTACCAGTACCATAGCAAATGTAAAGAGGACAGAGTGGGGAATATGATTGCTGAAGTTACCGTGCACAAGGTTAAAAAGTCTAATAAAGACCATTCATAACATTTCCCTCCTTCCGCCTCCCGCGCGTAAAAACCAACTATGGAAAACAGTCTTGCTAATCCACGTTTCATGGCCCCGCCCTCCTCACCCGGCGCCGTGATGCTAATGAGTGCGCTATTCCTTTGCGCAACTCTTCTAATTTTACACTCCCGGCAGTACGTACCGAGCGTTTCAGACGTAGCTTTATTCCATCTATGCTTTTTAGACAATAAATAGTGTACATTATCTCGTTTTTAATTTAATAGGATAAAGTATAATTTCAGAGCTGAGCAAAGAGTTTCCAGCAATCTGATTGGTCGAAAGACGCTATATAAACCGCTCCACGCGGT